CTCTTCCTCCCGCGAGAAGCTTCACGAAGTTAATGTCGAGTCTCTTCAACATCCCAAAATTAAGACCACGAAATCTGCCAATCAAACCGACTTGGCGGATTCGATCACTGAGGATTTGAAAGTTCTTCAACTTGATTCCTCGCCAATCTTGACGCCCAAGAACAAGTTCTTCAGGATTACCGGTGATGAAACGATCGAAAAGTATGATACTCCTTCTTGGACCCAAGAGTCCTCCATGGAAGGATCGCCTAGCGTTAGCATCAGTCTTGGCAGAATATGGAGAGACGCGGTGCCGGTTCCGGTACCGGTCTCTGTCTCGATCCCGGTATCAACCTCCTCATATTCTTTCGTCTCGAATTCTCCGGTTCATCATTTTCTGGACAGTGCCTTAAAAGAGAAAAAGCCGCAACCGACTATCACAAGAACGGTTTCGGCGCCTGAGAAACCGGTCAGTAAGGATAACACTACGGCGTCGTCTTTCGGCTTCTCTCTCAGGATCAGTAAGCTCGCGGATTTTAGACCAGGGTAATTAAGATTAAAGCTTGTCGATAAACGATTGATTACTGATAGAAGAGTGTGTTCCCTTGATCGTATTAGAATTTTTGAGTTTTTGCTCGATATTTTATTTATCGGATTTTGTATTCAAATAATCAATTATGATTTTGAAACTGATTTGAAAACTTCCATTTTATATTGTTTTAAACGCGGTGAGTAAGAATTACTGTATATCGATTTGAATAGCAGATTATTGTAATTTTACATTAATTATTAATTAAATTTTTCCTTGATTGTACACTTTGTAATAAGACAAATACTGATAAATCACTCATATTTTTGCACTCGCTGATTGATCGACTAGAATTTCGCGTTGGCTTCAAGAATATTTCGATCGCAATCTTGACTATTTGACTTTAGGATGACGCGAAACTGTCTCTTTCGCCGGAAGGCACCGAAGCTGTCGCCCAGCGTAAGCACGGAGGGTTACTTCAAGCGAACGAGCACATTCAGGTGTTCTCGTCGGCGAGGCGGCAAAAGAAACTCTCAACGCGCCAACAAAAAGAATCAACAACCTATTATTCAATCTCGCAGCAGCAGTCCAGTATGGTTTATTCCACCAGAGAGACGTCGCTCGAGACGCCAACGACGAGTTTGGCGGGAGATCAGATACTTTCCTGACGAAGGTCCAATTCTGGAAAGGATCAACGACTGGTCATCAAATGTGTCAGATGATCAATTCGATGATCAAAAATTGCTGCTGTCAGGCGACTTTAATATTCGACGGGAAGATGATGCTTTCAATTCGATTGTTTCGTCATCTCTGGGCTCTTTCTCGGCAACGTCATCCTCATCATCGGCTTGTCTAGCCCCAAAGATCAGCGACTTTAACGAAGATAAGCTGTTCTCTGAAGAATTAAGAACTAACGGTCTTCTGGCACGGGGATCTACCTGGAAGCTTTCGGCGATGACGATGACAACGACTACGACGGCAACGGTAACGACGACGATGATGACGATAATGTCAACGGCGACAAGTACGGCTGTTTCTGGAAATTATTTTGCCAGCAGCCGATTTCTCAACTTCTTGACCGAGGGTGTTGTCAAGGAGAGATCGAAGGGTGGGAATTCCAACGCGGGTTATACATGTCTTTCGTCGACTGACAGTGAGGACAACAATGTCAATGAGCATAGTAGGAACATCAAGTTTCCGCAGCAACAACAGCAGCATTTGAAGAAATCTGGACCCAGAAGACGACCCCTGCGCCGAAAATCGGAATTAAAAAGAGCATCCGGCCAGCCGGTATTCCTCGTGCGCAAATGCTCATCCTTGAGGAAACGCCCGAGTAAGATCTGAGCTATAGTTTTCTGTAGGTTGTCCCCGAATATATGAGAATTTGCAGGAATAATACTATAGTAATGTGTGTAATAATAATAAAAATGATTATTATTATTACATTATATTATTACTCTCCGTCGACTTACGTCGGCGTGAATTGCGCAACGCGTTTCTCGCGATTGGTTTCGATGAGCTTGTTGTTCACGATCACGAGTTTGCGTATTGCGATCATGGTTTAACGTGTGTCTCGTCACGGCTTTTGCTTTTTTCTTCAAAGGCTTGACGACTTACAATGCAGAGAAATTCTTTCGTATTAGAGTCGTTGATTATAATTTCAGATTAGTTTCTTTAGCACATACACATTTATAACCGAATAAAAATCATCTTTATATACAAAAAAAAAAAATATATAGAAAAGATAGTAATTTTTTAATCAGGTTTTTTTTCAATGAAATTTGCAATTATGAAAATACATGAAACTGTAATTTGTATTGTATGAAGATACCCCATAAATAATTATATATATGACCAAATTATAATTATAATATATATATTATCATCTATCTTGATGAATTTTACAGGTTTAACTTGATTCTTCATGTTAAATTATACGCGGATAAGTTTTTTTCAATAAATAAAATATTAATACATTTTTTACAATGAACATATATAAACTGTTGCATATCAAGATGAATTATGATTTGATTTGACACATAGACGATGGCGGAAATTGTTCAAATACATGATTATCATAATCGCGGTGACCCGGTTTTGTTTTGCGAACATGGGAAAATCGTGTCTCGGTCTTTAGGATCAATTCTTCAGCGTTTTCTTGAGTTACGAAGTGTAACGAAAGGCGAGTTTGTAGTAACCAGTTTTATATCGAGACATGGACGAGTTACGTCATTAGCATCGACCGCCAACCGAGCGTGCATCGATCTAAAATTCAATCCCGTGCATTTTAATCGTGCAACTTGTTTTGAGCAATTCAAAGATCTAGAACTTATACTACTGGTATAATTCATTGTTCTCTTTATGTTCTATCTCCATTCTTATTTATATTTTTTCTATCCTCTCTTGATATGACTGGATATTATACTTTGTAAATATATTTTTATCTAGACACTTTGTACACACGGAAAAAAAATGCTGTTGCTTCAATTAAAGTCTACGTCTGGATTATTAAAACAACTATCCAGATATTTGGTCTAATAAAAATATCATTGAATAAACTATGTATGTCTGTGGCAGCCCGTGACGTAGACTTTAATTGAAGCAACAGCATTTTTTTTCCGTGTGTACAAAGTGTCTAGATAAAAATATATTTACAAAGTATAATATCCAGTCATATCAAGAGAGGATAGAAAAAATATAAATAAGAATGGAGATAGAACATAAAGAGAACAATGAATTATACCAGTAGTATAAGTTCTAGATCTTTGAATTGCTCAAAACAAGTTGCACGATTAAAATGCACGGGATTGAATTTTAGATCGATGCACGCTCGGTTGGCGGTCGATGCTAATGACGTAACTCGTCCATGTCTCGATATAAAACTGGTTACTACAAACTCGCCTTTCGTTACACTTCGTAACTCAAGAAAACGCTGAAGAATTGATCCTAAAGACCGAGACACGATTTTCCCATGTTCGCAAAACAAAACCGGGTCACCGCGATTATGATAATCGTGTATTTGAACAATTTCCGCCATCGTCTATGTGTCAAATCAAATCATAATTCATCTTGATATGCAACAGTTTATATATGTTCATTGTAAAAAATGTATTAATATTTTATTTATTGAAAAAAACTTATCCGCGTATAATTTAACATGAAGAATCAAGTTAAACCTGTAAAATTCATCAAGATAGATGATAATATATATATTATAATTATAATTTGGTCATATATATAATTATTTATGGGGTATCTTCATACAATACAAATTACAGTTTCATGTATTTTCATAATTGCAAATTTCATTGAAAAAAAACCTGATTAAAAAATTACTATCTTTTCTATATATTTTTTTTTTTTGTATATAAAGATGATTTTTATTCGGTTATAAATGTGTATGTGCTAAAGAAACTAATCTGAAATTATAATCAACGACTCTAATACGAAAGAATTTCTCTGCATTGTAAGTCGTCAAGCCTTTGAAGAAAAAAGCAAAAGCCGTGACGAGACACACGTTAAACCATGATCGCAATACGCAAACTCGTGATCGTGAACAACAAGCTCATCGAAACCAATCGCGAGAAACGCGTTGCGCAATTCACGCCGACGTAAGTCGACGGAGAGTAATAATATAATGTAATAATAATAATCATTTTTATTATTATTACACACATTACTATAGTATTATTCCTGCAAATTCTCATATATTCGGGGACAACCTACAGAAAACTATAGCTCAGATCTTACTCGGGCGTTTCCTCAAGGATGAGCATTTGCGCACGAGGAATACCGGCTGGCCGGATGCTCTTTTTAATTCCGATTTTCGGCGCAGGGGTCGTCTTCTGGGTCCAGATTTCTTCAAATGCTGCTGTTGTTGCTGCGGAAACTACACGGAAAAAAAATGCTGTTGCTTCAATTAAAGTCTACGTCACGGGCTGCCACAGACATACATAGTTCATTCAATGATATTTTTATTAGACCGAATATCTGGATAGTTGTTTGAATAATCCAGATATTTGGTCTAATAAAAATATCATTGAATAAACTATGTATGTCTGTGGCAGCCCGTGACGTAGACTTTAATTGAAGCAACAGCATTTTTTTCCCGTGCATATATTATGAATATCGTTGTTCATGCACATAGTAATAAACATATCTTCATCTAATATCTCCGTTATGAAAAAGGGAATTTTTCTTGCAAGGCACCAAGATTTGTTATTCAATGAAAGATTCAGATCATAAATATATAAGAAAAATATAATGATGAATTTGAGACTTGCTCGTGATATCATACAAATTAATTGTTAGATTGGACATTAATTAATTAAACCGTTTCTCATTTTTACAGGAGACATTACGCAGAAGGGTTACGAGAAAAAACGGACACGTCTACTTCAGCAGTACGCTTCGAAGCAAATAGGTGAGTCTCTCTTTCGCTTTTCTAGAATTCTCATTAAGACTCCGCAAACGCAAGATATCATCGCTCATTATCCGCAATATGCGGCAACAGAGCGGATGAGAAAAACAACGATGTGAAAATAATATTATCGCTTCAATATCATGTTTAGTGGCCATTCTAATATTCAATCGATTATACGTAAAAATTGCATAATACCATATTAAAATTTGGTGACGACTTTTAGACGAAATTAATAGAAACATTTTATTTTTTTTTGTACGCCCTGTATTAATTTTGTTTGATAATATTTATAGTCCATAAATATAAGTCCATTTTTTATAGTTTAGTGTTTATAATAAAGCGCGCGCGTATAAAAAGCTTTATAATACGATCAGCAAAATATTGTGCATTATGATAATTAAACAATATCTTGTCGGACGGAAAAGCGACTGTCAGTTTCTAACTTTCCAAGTCTTATCCTTCGTCGCATCTTGACGTGTGTAATGTTGCGCCATCGAGAGGCAATGCCACTCGCAATATCAATCGCGTTCCGATTCTCAAGGGATATGTGCTTCATTGTGCGCACAATGGCAAATTAGACGGCAATCCGTATAAGAAGAAGGGATGGAAACGCAATTTTCACGCGGCACGTGCCATTTTTACGCTCGGCATCTTGCAACCGTAATGTGCAATTGTTGCCAGTTGCGTCATACACGAGTCGTTCAACACACACGTTGAAAGAAAGATTAGAGTTTTAAAAGGAGCGTACGCAATTCCACGCGATTTTATTTCCATTTATTTCCTCGAGGAACATTCTTTGCTTTTAAGGACGGGATTTACGGGAGAGATCTCAGGGAGTTGAACGTCGTTTATGGCATGGGGCAAAAATCTAATGCGGGTTGTGTTTTCGAGCCGCTAATCGTTATCGTGACTTTGTGTGTGTGCACTCGTCGAGACTCTCTCCCGTTTTATCGCTACAAATTAACATTAAATTACACAATTGCGGTCGCAATTTCACGCATTTCTTCCCGATGCGCGTCGGATTATCTATCGATTTTAATGTTCTTATACACAGCCGGATGCTAATTTTCAATAATTTGGAACGAGCTCCAGCTGACGCTTCGGCACACGCAATTATTTAAAAATAGAAATTATTTAAAAGTTTAATATATAGACTTTCTAAATATGCTCTACACAAAAAGCGTACTAAAGAGATTCTATGTCTAATTTATTAGAGGAGAGATACCGTGGTATTTAGAAGCCTTTGTGGTTACGATTATTAACATTTTTAACGCACAGTGAAAATTTTAAAGCTAGCAATTCAATCACTTTGAGCACTTTACGCAATCTAACGATTTATACGTTTAGCGCAATTATTCACTTTTTATGCAGAAAAGTTTGTTGCCGCATCTCATCTGTATTTTTTATATTAATATATTTTTTCTAACCTTTTTAATCTTGTATAATTTCTTCAGCTGTTATTCAGTACATTTACAAAATTATGTTTTCTAACTTTTTTGATTCTAACATTTTTTTTTTACCTCTTATGTGTATATGAGTTGTATCTAGGAGAACGTATATATTTGGGGATACTTTAAATATTTTTAAGTACAATATTTAAGTTTTGTTTATAAGATAAGTTAGAAAATATCAATTTTGTTTTTTATGTTCATGAATGTTCTGAAATTTTTTTTTTTTTCGGCCGATTTAATTTCTTATCGTCACCCATCCTTTTTATTAAGTTATATAAACACTCATTTCTTCATATAGGCAACATTTAAAATAAAAAATAAAATAGTTAAAATTTCCTACAAATCAAAATAAAAAGAAGTGTCATTAAATGCTATAGTCTTCGCTTTCAGAGTTCTTTTGATATAAGTTTTCTCGGTAATCATTGCTTGTCGCGCTTCCTATGCATTAAAATGAAATTTAGAAAGTTAGAATCGACCAAAGAGCAATGTGTACATCGTCCTATAAAAGAATCATGTACGTTTGCACCAGACCATCCTGTATAGTTGTGCGGACGCGCCTTTGCACCTGCAACTGTTATCGGTAGAACCGCTGCAATCGGCTTGCAGTTTAACTGTACCTACACACGGAAGAAGTGCTTCCGCGTTATCCGCTCATTAATGCTATCTGCCATTGTCGTGAACGAGCGAGTTGAATCAACGACAGTTTTCTATGGTTAGATAATCGGCCTAGTCAAATAACGGCAAAATGTTTTACATCAATTCTTCGAGCGATCTTTTTTTTTTTTTTGCAGAAATATTGTAGTTTCTTTTTTTAATTTCCGAAATAAAATAAATCGTTATAATAGTATTGTACTGCCAAAAATGCATCGCGCAAAAGGAGAAACATGAGAAACCAATTTTCAGGGATTTTTTTTTGTATCTGGAAAATTAGGAAATTCTCATGGAATTTTATGAGGACTCGAGGAATTTAAAAAAAAATTATCTCTTTGATAATTTTATTCTTATATTGTCAGCAATCAGCAATCCTCCGATAAACCAAATTGTGAAAATTATGTTTAAAATATATTATAAATATATATCTATCTCTGTTTATATATATTCAATGTCTTAACAAAATATTGAATACGCAGTACATATTCTTTATTGCAATTTTTAGTGATAAAAAAATGAAAATGTTACGCAAGTAAAGAAATAAAGTTTATCTCATGAAAGCTATTCAATTTTTTTATATTTTTAGTACATTTACAAATCTGGCACTTGAAACCTTTTTTAAAAAATTGCATCAAAAAAGATTCTTAAAATATTCTCTTTACCTATAATTTTGAACAAAAATATACTGAAAAATCAAGGAATTTTCAGGGAATTTTTTTTACAAGATTTGAATAGAGATCCTGAAAAAAATTTGTCGATATGGCTTTGGGATAAAACAATGACAATGGCAAACCGCAAATATGAGTATTTTAGAATAGAAACAATGCTCCAGTTGTGAGCACATACGCACTTATGGATCGTAGGGACTGGAAATGGTGGTATTGGTGGTGGAGGTGGTGATGGTGGCGGCGGTGACAGAGGCATTGATAAAGGACTGGAGAGAACGAGTTACGGAAGCGGTGGTGGTGGAGAAGGAGGAGGAAGCGGCAGCTATGGCGGCGGCCGACCGCAGCCACGTGCACGGCGCACGCAACGACGCGTCACGCACAACGAGAAACGTTATCACTCAGGTAGCGCCATGCATTACGTAGCCAGCGAAAGAACGTTCTTCCGAGTTGCGGCAAACGGGACGTTGATTAATGCGCGTAACATTGTTGATTGTGTCTCAATTTTGCTTCGATCTCAGCTTTTTAGCTTGCACTTCTCTGTAATGAACTGTATAGGAGATGATTGTTATAGATTTTGTGATTAGAGATTAGAATAGAATGACGTAATTTATACTCGATTTTATTCTCTGATTGTCGTACGTAATTTGCGCTTTTATCTTTAAACACGCGCGCGCGCATACACAAGCACACACATACGTACACATAAGCGAGTGAATGGCATGTGATTTTTTAGCTGTAATACAGAGGGTGTCTACTCTCTGGAAAAATATGGAAAACTTGGAATTCTCAGAGATTACTTTTGTACCTGGAAAACTCAGGAAATTTTACTGGGAATTTTTAAAAAAATTCTCTCGGATAATTTTGCTCTCATAATGTAAACAATCGGCAAGCCAAATGAATTATGTTTTAAAATATATTATAAATATATATCTATTTCTGTTTATATGTATATGTTCAATATTTTGCACAATATTAAATATGCAGTACATATTCTTTATTGTAATTTTAGTGATAAAAAAAATGTATATGTTATTCAAGTAAAAAATGTTTTTGTTACGAAAGTTGTTCAGTTTTTTTCAGTGCATTTATAAATCTAGCTTTTGAAACTTAAGAGATTCTGTATTTTTCTTTCATATGAGTTAAAAACATTAGAAAACGCATGCAATAAAAAAATTTATTGGTGAAAGCTGCATAAAAAAAAGCGTTCAAAATATTCTCTTTACTTGAAATTTTGAACAAAAATTCCTGGAAGATTAGGGAATTTTTTACAAGATTTGAGTAGACACCCTGTATATATAAAAATGTCACGGTAAAATTCCATTCCTCCATTAAAATTATTTTCTAAGGGAAGAGATATATATATATATATATTTTTTTTCAATATGAAACTAATATAAATTGTACGAGATCACAGCACAATATTCCTCGCTTCGTAATTTCTTCGTTCTTTCGATCCGTATCGTTGTACATACCTAATCAAATTTGTATAAAAAATGGATGTAAATCCTAGAATGAATATATTTCCATTTTCTGCACATTGTTGAAACGAACGAGTTTCATCCATCCGTACTGCTTGTACTTCTCTTCGTGTACTCTTGCCTGCTTACTCCCTATCTTGTGGCTGTTGCCTCGAGACGCTTTTGCACCTTTAGATACTTTTGTAATTTGACCAGGCGGTAATCGAGACTGATTGTTCCATTGTTCCGAGTGACTAGATTGCAACCAGTCAACCGGCTTGCCATCGGTATTCTCGCTATTCGGTCAGTTGTGTCCTTACCATACTACTTATGATAGGGATTTTCAATACTCGACACAGGATATCTTTATATAAAAGATCCTCGATATCGATTATAGATGTTACAGGTGTTTTTGACAAGAAAATGTCATTTTTGTTTTATTTTTTTCGCGTGACGCGCGTTTCGGTAAAATTCGATCTATCTATCTCTCTCGATAGGTAATGTGCGATAAACTTACGTAACATATGATTCGCGCGGGATCTCCTGAAATCGTCCGGCGATTATTCCGACTGAATCACGGCACCGACTGGCCCTCCTCCTCCTTCTCCGACCTTCCTGCCACGGACGATCGATATGACGAGTCGCACTCACGAGACGCAGCATCCGATGGTAAAATGACCAATCGTTAATGATGCAATTAGATGGTTAGCTCGCATCCGGATAAATAACACTCTTCCACGGTATATAAATCGTGAAAAACTTGACGGATCTTCTCCGTGAAGGCAGTATTAACCGCTTGGAACTTAAACCCTAGAAACGCCTTACGATAGGGGTCCCAAACTCGATTTTAGTGAGTCATGTGGTAGAAGTAGGAGAAGGTATGATCATTTTCATTCTCTATGATATTAAAGGACTTAAGTCTTAAGTGTAAACTTTTCTTGTAGCGACATAGCACGCTTTAGATTTGATAGGTAGTTTCGAGGAGTTACGAAATCCATCGAATGCCACCGAGATTGTCCTCATTTCCCTTCATCTATCCTTCCCATAAGTTTGCTATGGTCCGCAAAGGGGCCATGGAAAGGAAGATGACACGGCTGTTTGAGACCCCTGCCTTAGGATCTATGGCTTCTTAATTCCTATCTTTGATTTCAAGGATCTTTTGATCAATGATCTTTTGATTATGGAGTCTTAACTTCTTGTTAAATAGTTGGATTTATTTCTTCTGACGCTTTTTGAGAGTTCTAGAAATTCATTGTGATTAACTTGCAATTAATAATAGCGAAGTAAATGAATAGACAGAGAATATATACTAATTCCATGTATTCCCAATGTCCGAGCTTGTTTATCCGGATGCGGCGAGACCGAGGAAAAACGAACGATGACAAGTCTTGCGATGACAAGTCTTTGCAGCCAGTCCTTGTAGCGTCCCACTTTTGTCTATGTGCCGTTTGTTGTTGTTATTTTGCATGCAGGTGGTCGCTTAGCGCCTGGAGGGATCGCCAGTCCCCCAGGATCTGGCGGCTTCACAGGGAACACCGGGAACTCGAATACAACTGCTGCAGCGGTAGTGGCGGCGGCTGCGAGACGTGGTAATCGCAGACTTACACGCAATGAGAGCCGTTATCATTCCGGTGAGTACACTTGTAGAAGTGATGCTAGGAAGGCCGGAACTACCGTCCAGGTAGTACGACAGTAGGTATATATTGTTGATCTTTTTCAGAGTCTTCTTTTTATATTCCAAATTTTCATATTCTTCAAATCGAATACATAGATCCATCGAATCTTTCGATCTACAAGCACAAATTTCTTGTCGTCAAATTAACAAACGTAAATTGATGACATTAAATAACAATATTGGGTGAAAAATTGTGATGTAAATTTTTATTGTCTCTCTTTTTACTCTTTTTTTTTTTTGCTCTCATTCAACAGCTAAGAAAGAGGTTATTATAAGATATAAATACGTTTTCTGATTTCCCCAAATATTTAACGCATTTTCGAAATATATTTAACAATAAATAAAATTAACATAAATAAAAAATAAATTTTTCTCTAATTGTCTTAATTCGTCTAGTAAAAAATCTAGATCTTTGATAGGTAATTTACATTTTTTTATAGTTTATGCATGAAAGAAAATTAAATTGTTATTATCTTTGTTACAATTTTGATTAAATGTATGTGGTATTGAATGCGATTAACATTATTTATCTATCTATATAATTTTGTTGTCATGTCTGCAGCTCTGCATTAGTTCTTCGATTAAATTTCGAAACTTCTAGAAGCTTGGTTTGCGCGCTTTGTCCGCATATCTTACGCTTCTTGCTAGTATGAAACATCGTTTCGCATAATAGAGAAAAAAAATTGCTTCGCGTTTGAAAGCGTCGATAGAAGAATATATATATATTTATCTCAATGCAAGTACAGATAATCTTCCATCTGGTACACCGTTAGCGGCTCACGAGTCAACAAACTGTATCCCATTGAAAGATCGAAAGTCGATCCAAGAATATTCGCGTCAATAAACTCGTTTGGTGTATAGAGCGTCTTACGATAATAATATAGAATTATATCTACATATTATTAAACAATCTTATCTATAGATTATTAAACGATAACAATAGTATAAATTTTTGTCTCGTTAATTATATAAACTTTTATTTGTTCTTAAGCACGTTGAATTTCTTAATATATCTTTATATTAATGTATTATATACTGTTAATTAAATATGAAATTTTTGCGAAATTATTTATATGTATATAACCCACAATATAAATTAGAATATACATAGAGGAAACTAGCAAATACCAGTAAAGATATATTGTAATTTGAAAATAATAATTTTTTTAACGCTAGTGAAAATTTTAAAGTTGATAAATTTTAATTACTTTGCTATCTGTCTCCAACTTGAATATTTACATTCGCGTAATTACTCTATTTTTATACAAAAAAAAATTTTGTTTTTGTATCTCTTCTATAAGTATTTTTTACATCAATGTATGCTACGTTAATGTATTTAAAAATTTTTTTTTTTTTTTTTTGAAAAAAAAAAATACGTACAAAGTCTTCGAGGAGAGAATCCGGACTGATTTTATCTCGTCGATTTTAATGGGCGCTATTATTAACAATGAACGAAGCATTTATTAAGAATCTCAACTCAATTCTCTTCAATCTTTCCACGTCTCTTAGCATTTTATTCACACGAATCCTTTTGTACACATGCGCGCGCGCACGCTACAAGAATGTTGAGTTAGATCATCAGTAATATAAAAAATGATTAAGTACCTTTGCGTTGTCATTCGTTCTCGTCATTCGTTCGAGTAATCGATTTTTATGTATTTAGAGGTGCGCCAGGAAGCGGTGCAGCAGGCCTTGGCAGCGATGCAGGGACGGCCAAAGCCATCCCTGCCGATGCCATCGAAGAGGACCTCTGTAATGGCCAGGAGTCCTGACCGGGAGAGACGCGACAGCGGTGAATCCAGCAGCGACGAGGATAGCGTTGTCACAGAGGAGAGCCCTGGCGCAGGTGGTCCGACTGGTAAATATTTATTTCGCTACACACTCTTCCGCTGTATTAGGATAGGTACATTGGAGATGAATATAAACGAATCGAGAATTATTCGTATAGAAAGTTCTGTAAAGAGAGAGTTTATTCTTCGAATAAGATCAGTGAATTAAGTAGAACAGTGATCAAACAATAATGAGATATAATCATAAATGTGATTTTGTCCATCTGTTCTTCCCCCCACACAAAATATACTAGGGTGGATAAAAAAAGGTTCCCTGTTTTATTACGACTTTTGTTTACAGCTTATGTATAAATTGGACTTACTTTGCTAAAATATAAGCTAATGACTACTTTTCGATGTAGTCTTTCGATAAGATTAACGCACTCGTTTTACCTACGAATTTGAAGATTCCTTCTCGGTAAAAATCCGACTCTTGATGTTAAATCATTCTTGAACAGCATTCTGTACTGCTGTATTATCCAGAAGAATATTTAAAGGAAGAAGTCTAGACTTCTCTCTAGAGAAGCTGAAGTTTCTTTTTTATGAATTTTCCGCACGATAATGAATCTCACTCTTCACATCGAACTCAGGAACTTTCGTATGTATTTGATTGGAACATTATGGAGCATTCTTCCTACAGCTCGGATGTGACTGCTTCCGATTTTAATTTATTTGGGTCCCTGAAGAAACATCTTGAAGATGATTTTCAGATGATGCAACGGTACAGAATGCTGTTCAGGAATGGTTTAAATATCACGAGCAGGGTTTTTACCGAAAGGGAATCTTTAAACTTGTACCAAAATGGGACAAGTGCATCAATCTTCTCGAAGACTATATTGAGAAGTAGTCATTTTATTTTAACACAATATAAGTCCAGTTTGTGTACAAATCGTAAATAATAATCATAAAACAAGGAATCTTACTTTTTGATCTACTTTAGTATAAATCTAAAAAAAAGAAAAAACGTTATAAATCAAGCGCTGCATGTATGCCGTATGTATTACGTGTTAACTGTTTAATAAGTAATCATCGACTTCCACAGGCACCGGTCTTTCGGATACCAGCAGTACCGGTTCTGCCCGCGATACTCCACCACCGCCGAGACCACCGGCGAGAAGGCCGCCCGGTGCCGATATCACCGACATTGCCGAGTATACGCCGCATGCCTACTGCAACATCCAACCGCCAGATGTGACTCACGTGACGAGCAATACCCCGGTCGGCCAGCAGCAATCGGCAACGCGTCGACCCGGCGCCGACCGGGTCAATCGCTATGCGCACGTGGTCGAGGATCAAAATAATACAGGCACCACTGGCCGCTGGAAGGTTTCCGCCAAGATTCAGCAATTGCTAAACACGCTGAAACGGCCAAAGCGCCGGCCGCTACCCGAATTCTACGAGGACGATGACATCGAGCTAGAGATTGCTGCGAATCCAAAGGATCCGAATGCTCCCAAACCCGAGGGCGGTTCCATGACGTCGGCGATTGGCGAGATGCTATCGGTGCCGTCCGGTCTGCCGCGATCTCTCGAAGCCGCGATTCAGAGGTGAGCTACCGTCTAAGAGCAGTGTCACGACGATCTGTGATTGATTTAAAACTAAACATGAATTTGCAGATTCAGCGATCCATATAAAAATTCATTTATTACGTGTCCGCAGGTACGGCTCGGCGACGTATAAAGCACCTGTAGCCACTGTCTTAGACCCTAATGGTAAACTTTGCGTAACGCTCACGTACGGAAAACTGCTCAGTCGCTCCCACAAAATCGCCTATACTCTACTGAATAAGGCTCTAAGTCGCGGTGGCGATTGTTGCCTAAAACCCGGCGACAGGATTGCCCTAGTTTATCCGAATAACGATCCGATCAGCTTCATGTGCGCTTTTTACGGCTGCTTGCAGGCCGGTATTGTACCGGTGCCCATCGAAGTTCCTCTGACTCGACGTGACGCGGGTTCTCAACAGATTGGGTTCCTCCTGGGAAGCTGCGGAATTCAGGTAAACAGGCATCGTATGCCACCTTATTTGCCAATCAACATTCTTTCCTATATTTGCATGTCCAATTAGCTATACAGCTTTGTGAGTTGCATTAGTCCATTAACGTTATGTAATTACATGACGCAATCGTAAAAGTTATCCGAACCTACTAATCAGTAGCATTTATGTATCTCGATATTTTTCAGGTGGCGCTGACCAGTGAAGCGTGTTTGAAGGGCCTGCCAAAGACGGCAGCCGGCGAGGTGGTGGCCTTTAAAGGTTGGCCGAAATTGCATTGGTTTGTTACCGAGCATCTAGGCAAAACTCCCAAGGACTGGCTGTCCCCACCACGACTCACCGACGATACGCCCGCGTATATCGAATACACCACCGACAAAGACGGCTCTGTGATGGGTGTGACCATTACCAGGGCGGCGATGATGGCTCACTGCCGCGCTCTCACGCAAGCTTGCGGCTACACCGAAGGCGAGAACGCCGTCTGCGTGCTGGATTTTAAGCGGGAAGTTGGCCTTTGGCACAGCACCCTTACCAGTGTGCTGAATGGCATGCACGTTATCTTTATCCCATATGCCTTGATGAAAGTCAATCCCGCCAGTTGGATGCAGATGATCACGAAACATCGCGCAAGTGTTGCCGTTGTGAAGTCACGGGATCTCCACTGGGGTTTGCTTGCCACGAAGGATCATAAAGATGTCTCCTTAGCATCTTTGAGGCTTTTGCTCGTAGCGGACGGTGCGAATCCCTGGTCTCTGTCATCTTGCGATCAGTTTCTTTCGGTATTCCAATCCAAGGGACTCAGGCCGGATGCTGTTTGTCCTTGTGCCTCTTCTAGTGAGGCCCTCACAGTCTCAGTAAGAAGGCCAGGACGCGCGGGAGTGAACGCGACTGGTCGTGGAGTTCTTTCCATGTCCGGACTGAGTTACGGAGTTGTCAGAGTGGATCAGGAGAATTCCCTCACATCGTTGACGCTGCAGGATTGCGGACAAGTAATGCCTGGAAGTGAGTCAATAGTTTGTGTGAATCGTTTTCGTGTGATTCATTTTTAATGAGAATGTACTCTTGTATTTTTTGTAGGTATAGTAGTTGTTATCAAAATGGAAGGACTGCCGTCCATTTGTAAGACGGACGAAGTCGGTGAGATTTGCGTGCATAGTGCGGCGACTGGTAGTCAATATTGGGGCTTACAAGGACTTACTAACAACACCTTCAAGGTATCACCCTTACAAGCTGATGGTACTCCTTTGGGCGACGTAGAATACACGCGATCAGGCTTGTTGGGTTTTCTCGGTCCTGGTGGACTCGTTTTTGTCTGCGGATCACGCGACGGTCTCATGACAGTGACCGGCAGGAAACATAATGCTGACGACATTATTGCCACCGTGTTGGCGGTCGAACCGATGAAATTCATCTATCGCGGTAGAATCGCCGTTTTCAGCGTGAGGGTCCTCAGGGACGAGAGGATATGCGTTGTTGCCGAACAACGGCCTGATTGTAGCGAGGAAGAGGTATGTTTTGAAAATTTAATGCTACTTTATTTATATAGAGGAGGATGGAGAAAGATGGAGGAAGAATTGCTGAATGTTTTGGACATTATTTGAAAGTTTGTTATTTTACGCAGAGCTTCCAATGGATGTCTCGAGTACTGCAAGCAGTCGACTCGATCCACGCTGTAGGAATATACTGCCTTGCTTTGGTGCCACCCAACTATTTGCCCAAGACGCCATTAGGTGGCATCCATCTATCGGAGACGAAACGCCGCTTTCTTGAAGGCGCCTTGCATCCAGCGAACGTGCTTCTTTGCCCTCATACCTGCGTCACCAACTTGCCGAAACCGCGCGAAGTTCATTCAGGTAAGTGAAGCAAAATTTACCAACAGGTATTGCACCTTTTGAAATTCTTTTGAGCAGATATTAACGTAAACTTAAATAAATTTTAAAAATTACCTTTTAAAAAAAAGAGGAAACAAAAGGTAAAAAGACGCCAAGTGTCTGTTTAAAAAGTTGTAGAAAGAAATATATTTTTTTAAAGTACATTTTATTTTAAAAGCTGTTGTACGAAGTGTTGCGTTAATGTATATTTTATCTATCCAAAAAGAGTTGTAAGAAAATTTGTGTCGTTTTAATATACAGGATATCCATTAAAAACAAGACACTTAATTATCTCTTTAATTCTGACGATAAAAAAGATATTTCAAACATAATTTAAATGGTTTTAAAAGACAAGTGTGGCACAAAGAAAAAAAAAATTAAATATAAAATATATAAAAATCGGGATAATATACAAATCACATTTATATAATTAAGTCTAAGATACCAAAAAAAAGACATAAAATCATAACCAGTTGGTCACACACATTTAATATTAAATGTTTTACGAATCAAGATAATGTATGTGTGTGTGTGCGTGTACATTTTTTTAGATTGCACTATGTATGAATTGCCGAGAGTGACAGTACAGCAAAGAAAGTGAGTGCACACTAGTGAGCGTGCGTGCTCGTGTGAGTATAGAGGAGGGAAAGAAAATAACAAAAAATGAAAGAAATATACATTAGAATCCTATTATAATTAGCACATTAAGGAGGATTTAATTCTCATATATCTATACAAAATTGTTGATAAGCTTTTTAGAAATCTGACACATAATTGCATGATATGATGTGCTTGGTTATATATACAGGAGTAATTATTTATATTAATGAACACACACACATTTCTGATGATCTTGAACTTGATAATTTTGTTATAAATAAGATATGTGATTAACATTTTTGCTTATTGTATAATTGTAAATCTCGTACCAAAAATATCAGCCGATGAGGACTAGACTTTGCTTCGCGTGAAAAACCGCGTGGAGTCACTCATCCATTCACATATTACATTTTTATTTTTGCATAAATATCTAAAAAATTATACGAGACCACCAATTGAAACAAAAGCAAATGTTAATCAATACTCTAATTTCTACAATACATATTAAGATCAAAATCATCGGAGGTATGTCCATTAATGTAAATAATTATTCTTACGGGTGATTATCAAAGTATATATATAAAATAGAGTCTATTTTCTAATTTATTTGTATGTGTTATATATAACATTTCTCTAATAATAATAATTAGATAAATATATGAATTAAATTAAATTGTCATATATTATAAGCGCGATTTTTTGAACGCTAAAATGCAATGAATGTATATATATGTATATATTTCTCTCTTTTTCGGGGTACTATTTAGATCGTGTGGTAACAACATTATATATCTTCTCGAGAAATACTTGGAATCCACAACTATCTCGTGAAATATTTGTGATTAAGTTGGAACAAAAATTTTTATATATTTTATAATTAATAAGTTTCTGACACAGTTTATTACGCTTAGCATGTTATTCGATCTGATATAATCCCTCTTTTTTTTGGCTGAGTTCCGAACATCCTCGTGTCCCAATTAAGCGCAAGCATAATTGAATTTTAGTCATTGGCAAAAAGTTCTGTTTTTTTATTTAATTATTTTTATTATTAAGAAATCCTTTTTGTTCTCTTTTTAAAACTTTTTGATAGAATTTAATGCTTTCCTTTTGCACTTTCTTGTTTACTTTTATATTGATAATTTTAACGCATGATGCAATCAATCTGGCATCAATAACAATCAACCTGGACTTATACAATCCAATAAGGAAAAGACATTTGAGGATTCTCAAGCATCCATGGATATAAAGATTCGTAAATCCGCGTTAAAACACGAATAAACCTGCGCGGAGTGGAAGGCCCGTATATTACCGGCTCGGAAGGCAAGAACCAAATTGCTCTAGTTTTGATTTTCCGGCCTCAGTCAGGAAAGAGGGCGTGAGCTACTTCATTATCGGGTTGAGTGTTTGTGTTGGTTTACTAACGGAATGGTGCGGGGGCGTGTAGCGGGGGATTCTGTTACAGATGTCGGTCCAGCCAGTGTTATGGTGGGAAACATTGTCCAGGGCAACCGATTAGCCTCGGCACAAGGACGAGACATGGGTGTCTTAGACGAGGATAGCGATAATGCCAAAAAGGTTCGTGAGTCTGATAAAAATAAAAATTTAGTTCTAAAATTATAAAAATTTAGTTCTAAATTTATAAAAACTTTGATTTTTCCTTCTCACGCACAGAACTTGTCATGCGTCATATATTATATATTTTATGGTATCTCATCGTTTGCAGTACCAATTCATCTCTGAAATTTTACGGTGGCGCGCTGTCAGTACTTCGGACCATGTGATATTTACATCGTTAAATGCGAAAGGTGTTGTGGCCACTTCATTGTCCTGCTCGCAGCTGCACAAAAAGGCCGAGAGGATCGGGAATTTGCTTCTAGATCGAGGAAGGATCAATACCGGAGATCATGTGGCGCTCATCTTCCCACCTGGTACCGATCTGATATGTGCATTCTATGGCTGCTTGTATGTCGGTGCAGTGCCGGTAACTATCAGGCCGCCCCATCCGCAAAACCTTCAAACAACCTTGCCGACCGTTCGCATGATTGTGGACGTCAGTAAATCCATTCTCGTGTTGACCAACCAGAACATCCTCAAGTTGCTCAAGACAAAGGTAACTGAAAGTGCTCAATTAGAAAAGCGAAAATATTATCAATTGGCATTGTCTTGTAGGAGGCGAATAACGTGGTTGACGTAAAGAGTTGGCCGATAATCCTGGATATGGACGATATGCCAAAGAAGAAGCTGCCGGTGATGTATCGGGCGCCTACCGCGGAAATGCTGGCCTATTTGGACTTCAGCGTCTCGACGACAGGAATGCTCGCCGGTATCAAGATGTCTCATGCGGCGGTGACTTCGTTGTGCCGCGCCATGAAGTTAGCGTGCGAGCTCTATCCTTCCAGACACATTGCTCTCTGTCTAGATCCCTATTCAGGCCTTGGTTTTGCATTGTGGTGTCTTAGCAGTATATACAGTGGACATCATTCCATACTGATACCACCATCTGAGGTAAGTTTCGTAATTTTCTTGCGGGAAAGACTTTTTTATTTTCGGTTCCGATGATTGATTCGAATTGATTTTGTTACCAGGTGGAAGCCAACCCCGCGCTCTGGTTATCAGCGGTCAGCCAATCCAGAGTAAGAGATACGTTCTGCTCGTACGGTGTCATGGAGTTGTGCACCAAGGGACTCGGCTCTTCAGTTCATGCGCTTAAGGCTCGAGGAGTCAGTCTTGCCTGCGTGAGGACGTGCGTTGTCGTCGCTGAGGAAAGGCCACGAATAGCATTAACGACGAGTTTTAGCAAACTATTTTCCGCCTTAGGATTGAGTCCGCGCGCAGTCTCCACTTCGTTTGGCTGCCGAGTAAACACTGCCATTTGCTTACAAGTAAGATCGATTAGTGGAGGAATTGACCATTTCAATTTGTAAGCCGTTAATAAATATTGCTATTATTTTGTCGATTTTATTGAATAGGGGGCATCCAGTCCGGAGCCTTCGACAGTCTACGTGGACCTCCGCGCCTTACGTAACGATCGGGTGTCCTTGGTAGAACGCGGTAGTCCGCATTCTTTATGCTTGATGGAATCGGGCAAGTTGTTACCTGGCGTAAAGGTGATCATTGCGAATCCAGAGACGAAGGGCCAGTGCGGTGACTCACATCTAGGCGAGATTTGGGTGCAGTCGTCGCACAACGCAAGCGGTTACTTCACAATCTACGGCGATGAGAGCGATTATGCCGATCACTTCAACGCGCGGCTGGTTACCGGCAACACGAACGAGGTCTACGCGAGGACTGGCTATCTCGGCTTCTTGAGGAGGACCGAGAGCGTTCAACAATCGGTGATCAGCGATGTGCCCGGCGATACTACTAACCCGACCGAGGCCGATCTCGTGTCGAACGATCCGGAGTTGCACGATGCCGTGTTCGTCGTCGGCGCTCTCGACGAGGCCATACTGCTACGGGGTATGCGCTATCACCCAATAGACATCGAGAATAGTGTCATGCGATGTCACAAGAAAATCGCGGAATGGTAAGTCTTTTTAAAATTTCTTGCCTTCTAAATCTAATTTGTATTTTTATTCTATCTCTTTCCGTAATAATTCTGTATCCTGAACACTCCTCTTAATTGCATTGACGATTTGCTATTAGTGACCGAACATTGTTATCATGTATTTTTTCAGTGCCGTATTCACATGGACCAATCTTCTAGTGGTAGTGGTAGAATTGGACGGTAGTGAAAGCGAGGCCCTCGATCTTGTGGCTCTGGTAACAAGCGCTGTGCTCGAGGAACATCATTTAGTGGTCGGCGTAGTGGTCGTAGTGGACCCCGGTGTGGTGCCCATCAATTCGCGCGGTGAGAAACAGCGGATGCACCTGCGCGATGGTTTCCTCGCGGACCAACTCGATCCCATCTACGTGGCGTACAATATGTGAACGAATGTGCAAGAGAAGGTTCTCAGCCCCTTCGTATTCCGCCCTCATCCTCCCCGTCGACGTTTTTTATCCAACGTACCGAGAGCGCAATGGAATTCCATTCGCTCCACGTACGACGATAGAATGAGCAATCTTCGCGAAAATTTAGCTAATAAACATTTCTCATTTTTGTTTGTTTTCCTTAATTTTTTTTACTCTGTTCTTGGTTTTTTAAATGAGGATTTCGTACTTGGATCATGTATGTAAATTCTACCTTAAAGTTTCAAAAATTTGGTATATCTGGATTTGATTTTTAGATCTGCAATTTCGCGAACTTTTAATTTTATAGATTTTTTCACAAATTCTTATAAGAATACGTACTTACACCGGGCAGCTTACTTTTAGTCAGTCAGTTACCTGCACAAAATCCATTATTGGAGCGAATAATTTGAAATAAAGAATAAATGAACGAAATACGAATGAATATTTCAATAAATGGAGTTATACTATCAAGGAAGAAAGTGTATCAAGGAATATTAATACGCTCCAGCAATGTGAGCATCACCGATGAAACGTACATATGTGCACACTTGAAAAGTTCAATTTGCCGCAAATTGTCCCTTGGAAAAACTGATTAAACTGAAAAATCAGTCTCGTATTACATACGTATATGACACACGACATGATAGAATAATTGATGACAAATCATAAAGTCATTGATAAATGAAATCATAAATTTGCAATTATGACACCATTCTGTTTTATAACCAGCGATTCATCGCGAAATATTCACTATATCTTTCGATCATTGATAGTTTTGCGATATGTTTCGAAATTTTAATAACCTAGTATAGATCTGCTAAATCTCAACATTTGGTTCTTGCAGTTTTGCGAAACAAAGAGCGCGCGAAAATTTTGGTTTATTAGGCTGAAACACGCACAACATCTCGCGATTTTGTACATTTAAAGCCAAAGTACTATATGTATAACATGCAACACATGTTTTTAAATTAGCTGTAATTTTCACTGCGAAGAACAAGAGAACTTTTCTCATTGACAGAAATACCAAAGAGTTTCGTCGCAATGGTAATTTGACGATTTATGATAAATTGTTCACAGCCGTTTTTACGATTCTTAGTTGATTCATTCTAAACGTGTTTTTCTAACTCACTAGAAGTCGAACTTGAAATTTACAAATTTATTTGTAATGTAATCGATCAATACAAAATTCTCTCAATCTCTGCACAAACAAGTATATAATCAACTAGCTCGTATGTAAGGATGTAGATATGTTGCGACGTTAAAAAAAGCTGCCATGCATACAGTTTCTTTTTTCCTTTTTTTATTTATACATATTTCAACAAAACGAAAATGATAATTAAACGGCGCATTCTTTACTAGCATATACATATATATATGTAGATGTAAAGAAATTTTTTAGAAGCGGTTTTAATAAAAAGGAAGATGTATTAAAATATAATTGAAAGTTTAACACGCAGAGATTTAGATTAACATTTTGTACAAAATACATTTCAACAATTTTATACATGAACCGACGAAACTCTTATAATAATTCTTATAATAACATATAGTTAGGAAAGAAGATTGCTGAACTTTGTCTAGAAACGTTGAAAGTTGTGTGATCCGAAGATAGTGTGACTGCGATTGTTTTTCTTTGGAAAGACTTTTTTTACTTATGGATATATATACAAAAAGAGAGATATGCGTGTTGATAACTCTCTAATTTCATATTCTAATTTTAATGTAATGCGGCATATATAACACATATTGTTGCGACAACTTGCGAAACAGCTCGATTATAAATAATCACATGTGCATTTTCCGTGGGTAAAAGATTGCTTTTAAATATCGCGGACATTAATTAATTAAAGGAAAAAAAAACTAGATTTTTCAGTCCAGAAATTCTGTTTTCTTCTTTTGTTTTGATTATCGTACTCTTTTAATTGTTAACTCGATCGAATTTCATTCCGACAAAAATTTAATTTGGAATTAAATTAGGATTGACGCCATTATTTACCTATTAGTCCGCAACATTTGAATGCAAACACGATGGAGCGTGTTCGTAAGCGGCTAGTAAACGCGAAGTATTATCGATAGGCGACAATTTGGTCAGTGCAATATACGCATAGTGATTTATATCCCTTGCGGAGTATGATTAATTAATTAATCGTACAGAGTGGATTTCGATGGTTATTCACAGGCGGCTTTTTTATAAATACGTAATATGAAAAAAAGAGCGTTTCTTTCTCACTTTTTCCTTTCCCTCTTTCTTCCCTCCCCACCCCTTCTTTTACCTTCTCTTCTTCAGCACTTTCCCTTTCCTGTTACTTTTTCCTTTCCTCTCTCCTTTTTTCCCACTCTTCTTATTTCCTTTTTCTCTTCACTTTTCCTTGCCCCTTCCATCCTGGCTTTCTTCTTCCTCATTTATTTCTCCCGGTTTTTTTTTATTTTAAAAGATCTGTTTTTTCATTCTCTCAAATTCGCTTATTCTTATTTCTTTCTTTTCCTTTCAATGTTAAGTTATCGTGCCATGTTATCCTGTGTTAATTTCTGCACTTTTACGCATGGAAAAATGCACGCGCCTGTAAATAGCTAAGTTTATACATGCTCGGTTGCACTGACAACCTCGGTTAATTAACTGTCATTAAAGTGTTATACCACTTCGTTTTTTGTCTTGTTTAAGTCCTAATTTATTGCAGCTATGATATTATTACAATTGTAAACAAAGAAATGTTATAAATTAACGGCATAGTTATTCATCACCTTAATTAACCAGTTAATCATAATTGATCTCATTCATCTTGTTCTTACTGTTGTAGTCTCTCCTCTTCTTTCCTTTCTCCTTTTTTCCCTCTCGCACTCTTTTCTCTTTTCTTTCCTCTCTTTTCTTTTCTTCGTCTCTTTTCTTCCCTTCCCCTTATTNTTCCCTATCTTTCTCTATCTTTTCTCTCTTCCTCCCCTCCTCTCTCCTCTCTCATCGCTCTCTTTCTTTTGTTAGTGACGAACTTTTTTGGAAATTTGTAGACGATATTTTCTTAGCAAATCTTTTTTAAGAACAGAAACTTTTACGGTTAATTGACATGTTGGTGCAACTAACATTTAAATAATAGCAGAATTTATCGAATTGAATCAGATTTTATGGAAAAGAATTAAACTTTGCTTTCTTTATTTATCAACACATAAGAAAGCAGTTTTAGAATTTTTTTTATTGATTTCTTTTTTTGATAGTTTGATATAATCATAAATTTCTTCGAATTTTGCTATGCAGATGTATTGCAGATTACAGCATTATTTTGAAACTGACTTTCATTTTTCGCGAGGAATACAGTTTCCTTGAAAGGAGACTTATATGTGAAAATTTAATTACGGAACATTACTCGCGCGAGAGATATCGGATTAAAATAGAAATACTCTAAAACCAAATAATCCTTCGCGAGGGTTCTGGATTTTGAGGTTTTTTTTATGTCGAGTTTGATTTTTAATGTCGATCGATTTTTTTCTTCGTACGTGAAAGAAGAATGTAATACTAGATGCCTCCCGAGAAAAGTAGGAATGTGCAATGAATGACTTTTACATTGGACGAGAAGCAGTTATTATAACTACATGTACAATGTTGATTGTAACGATAGATTATTGGATCCATAAACATTTGGATTCAGAAATATTCGCATTCTCTGATCCTTGATTTCACGGATATTATAGTTATATGTGTATCCTTAACATTTAACCTTTTCGCGCGCGCGAATTATACGAATTAACATTTTATAAAAACCTTGCAAGCATGTATTTTAAAACTATAAATCTCACGTAAAATAAGGAACAATCGTAGGGTATTATAAAGCGAAAGGATATTAAGCGGCCCGTTGGTTTAATGGCTTGTTGAATATTTGCGGCTTCTTACAAAAAGTTTCCTTAAGATATTCCCATAAACATATTTAATTTAATATTTTATTGTGAAGTACACGCGCATATATGTACGATTAAAAAATTCATTTACGTTTAAAAAAATCTTTTAATTGTTTTCAGTAAGTAATATTTAAAAGGGATGCTATCATACATAAAAAATACATACAATGCTGAGCGTTAAGGGATTAATAGTATTTTACTGTTTATACATATGATCGTCGAGGAGACACGTGAGATTATTTGTCAAATGCATTTAATTTTAAGAAGATCTTCAGTTAGAATTCAAAGAGAAAGGATAGTGTTAAGTCTGGCCGAGATTAAGCCTATACTTGCGATGCGATATAAATAATCAATTATATTAGTACGCGATACTGATAATCGATCAATACTGATAATCGATCGTAATTGATTGATTGCATTATATAATCATCATGCAATCAGCAACGGAATATTACGTTAAAATTTTATGTGCCACTATGCAGAATACGAGTATAACAATTTTTGTTAATTATATATATAATAATTATTATTATCATTCTTTTTTATCTCATTGGACAAGCATAACCGGTGTACCAGATAATAAGATAAAGAATTTAACATGTGTCCTCAATTTAAGGATCCTTGCACAGTCCTATTAGCGGGTTCAGAGCATACGCGTGAATGCCTGCGTGCATATGTGAGAGACTTGCTTGTATTATTGTATAAATGTTGATAATTAGTTAATAGAAATGTGTGACATGTCGGAACGTGTCGTGCGGATCCGTAGGTCTACGTAAGACATAGGATCCATCAATCCCCAAGCTACGATCCTAGAGATCGAATCTAGAGCCGATCCCTCAATCGGTATATATCTAGACCAGCACAAGGCTGTGTATATATAACGCCCTGCGTTAGAATTTATTAAGATATAGTTTGTACGTTGAACTATATATATATAATATCATCATCATCATCATCATCATCATTATTATTATTTTTATTATTATTTTTATTATTATTATTATTATTATTATTGCGAATAATATAATGGTCATTGTCTTAACCAAGCCGATAGTATCATCATGCCTCATGTATATCATATTAAACGAACATATTAATACTCGCGTATTTGTACTCGATCTTTAGTCCTTTCATGATCCATGTACTTTCCGATCTTTTTCAAAAACGAGTCTGAGAGAAGACGAGTTTGAGAGAAGAGATTTACATATCCCCTTGCAAGAGCATTTCTTACGAAAGAAACAAAAAAAAAATATTAACACGATAAAATTAAATATTTTATCAAATTTTTCATTGTGTGTATGTTAAATTTTGTTATTGTATTTATATAATGATATCACATATCGGTCACAGAATTGATTTTATTGGTCGTCTGGCGAACGAGTTTCATTAAGGCTCCTAATCCCTTATTGACATCATACTGAATTATGACATCAGAAACGAGAAATCGTGAGTTTTATTTTTAAGCGAAATATTTTGAAATAAATTTTTTTTAAATGAGACCAACTCGTATTCGATAATATGGATTAATAAAATACACCGAAAACTTTTTTTTATTCATAAATTAATAAATAGCTGTAAATCTTGATCAATTGTTGTAAGATCCATTTTTCCTGAAAATGTAGGACACGTGCAGATGAATTATACATGCATTTATCAATGCAGGATAACAAAAAAAGGAGTTTTCAACGTATTTTGCTAATACAAAGAATACGAGTGGTTTCATTCAAAAAATTATTTAATTAATTAATTTTGATATATTTCTCAAAAGAATAGAACTCATATGATTTCTCGCTTCTGACGTCATAATAAAATATGACACAAGAGTCTTAGTTAGTGAAGTGAATTCACGCGAAAACGATTTACACATCGAATTACATAATTATAATCGGAAAATCACAAGAATCGATCGTAAAAACTCGCTCGTGTCGTCTATCACATTGGTTGATCGGAAAAGTGCGTATTATCAGTGATGATTTAATACGTTACGCGATCTGCGCGCTTTGTTGTTCAATTGATAACAATTTGCCATGGCGATGCGATGTTCGAGAATATATATTTCACGTATTGCTGGTTATTATTACCATCATATTATTATTATTGCGTGTACTCCAATGTTGATCGAATAACTTTTTCATTATTGATCGTCGACATCAAAAGGGGCGATAGCATTTCGCACCAAGTATATTGTATAACAATATATCATTTTAATTTTTAACCCTTTGAGGACGTATATATATGTTTTCAAATTTGTTTAAAAGGCAGCAAACATATATATATATAAATTTCTAACTTCACTTGATAGATGTCACATTTTTTCAATTTGACTTTAGAGTTCAATTAGATCAAAGAAATTATCAATCAACTGAAATCAATTGAAACCGATTTAATTAATTTTGATATATTTCTCAAAAGAATAGAACTCATATGATTTCTCGCTTCTGACGTCATAATAAAATATGACACAAGAGTCTTAGTTAGTGAAGTGAATTCACGCGAAAACGATTTACACATCGAATTACATAATTATAATCGGAAAATCACAAGAATCGATCGTAAAAACTCGCTCGTGTCGTCTATCACATTGGTTGATCGGAAAAGTGCGTATTATCAGTGATGATTTAATACGTTACGCGATCTGCGCGCTTTGTTGTTCAATTGATAACAATTTGCCATGGCGATGCGATGTTCGAGAATATATATTTCACGTATTGCTGGTTATTATTACCATCATATTATTATTATTGCGTGTACTCCAATGTTGATCGAATAACTTTTTCATTATTGATCGTCGACATCAAAAGGGGCGATAGCATTTCGCACCAAGTATATTGTATAACAATATATCATTTTAATTTTTAACCCTTTGAGGACGTATATATATGTTTTTAAATTTGTTTAAAAGGCAGCAAACATATATATATATAAATTTCTAACTTCACTTGATAGATGTCACATTTTTTCAATTTGACTTTAGAGTTCAATTAGATCAAAGAAATTATCAATCAACTGAAATCAATTGAAACCGAAAGAAAAACAAATGCAGAAGAACATCTGAAGAGACTTGTTGATAGGCATTTCCCTTCTCTTATTTAATCTAAACCTGGTAAAAAAAAAAAAGAAAACATGTAAGATGTGTCGCGTTTCTAGCCAGTCAGTGAGAAAAGAAAAGAAAAGATTATTAAATAAAAATATTTTTTATGAATTTTGTAAAAAAGTTTAGTTTTTCAAACCAAAAAAAATAATCCCCGAAGGGTCAATAGAATGCGTCAGGTCAATTCAAATTTGCGGTAAATTTTACAAATCGGATATTTTCTCTCCTTCCTTTCCCCTGTCCCATCCCTTTTCCTTTTTCAAACGCGATATAAAGCCAGGCCGATAAAACGCGCCGTTACGTTGATCCCACAGAGTTTGCATAAATGCATATGCAGCTTACAAAGTAGAACCACTCTGAATAACTTGTTGCGAACCGGTGCATGCATATGCGATCAGCATAATACAGCATGCACCGGTAATCTGCATATACCCATTGATAGTGCAAAATGACGAGCGAAAAATAAAAAGAAAAATGGAACAGACGGATCTCTGAGCGTGCCACGGCGCGGCGATGATGTATATTCATTAAAAGTTGTTAGCAGGAAGAATTGGACTTCTCGGTCTTCCACGACCGACCCAATTCTGCGACGGCCATAAAGAGATTGATATACGCTGGAGAATTGTCAAAATTGCCTGACAATGCGATCGCACCGTGACACGAACGTCCGTCGCCGAGAGAGTTACCTTTCCTCGTTTGATAAAAAAAAAAAATATTCCGCATCAGTTCGCTTTTCTTTATTTTCGCAATCCCATAGCACTCGCATGTGGCTAAATGATTAATCGAAACAATCAATATTTAGAATGATCCCAAATAACCAAAAGTGTGATTAATCATATTGCTGTCATGTTGCCAACAACTATATTATTGTTGGCAACATGACAGCAACCTCGCAGATACTTGGGTATTTGGGATTCGATTTTCATGTTTTTCTTTTTTTCGTCCGCGAGTAATTCGCAGATAAAAACATCGAATATATTCTCAAGTGTTTCCCTCTCTGTTGCATGTTTATATCAAAATGTATCTGTATATATCCTCTCTCTCTTTTTTCAGTTTGATATAATTAATATTTCTATAGCTACTTCGTTTTATTATAAGAAAAACAAGATAAAAAAGGAAAAAAAATAAAGAAAGGAAAATAACTTATATTATAAATGAAAACATTTACATATTTTTATCTTAGTCCAAAAGATTTTGATAAAATCGATAGAAATTTTTGGTTCGTGAGAAATATACATAAAACTCGTAAATAATGGAAAAGACACAGAGAAACAACCATTACAAATATATCGAAAAAAAAAAAAAAGAAAACATGTAAGATGTGTCGCGTTTCTAGCCAGTCAGTGAGAAAAGAAAAGAAAAGATTATTAAATAAAAATATTTTTTATGAATTTTGTAAAAAAGTTTAGTTTTTCAAACCAAAAAAAATAATCCCCGAAGGGTCAATAGAATGCGTCAGGTCAATTCAAATTTGCGGTAAATTTTACAAATCGGATATTTTCTCTCCTTCCTTTCCCCTGTCCCATCCCTTTTCCTTTTTCAAACGCGATATAAAGCCAGGCCGATAAAACGCGCCGTTACGTTGATCCCACAGAGTTTGCATAAATGCATATGCAGCTTACAAAGTAGAACCACTCTGAATAACTTGTTGCGAACCGGTGCATGCATATGCGATCAGCATAATACAGCATGCACCGGTAATCTGCATATACCCATTGATAGTGCAAAATGACGAGCGAAAAATAAAAAGAAAAATGGAACAGACGGATCTCTGAGCGTGCCACGGCGCGGCGATGATGTATATTCATTAAAAGTTGTTAGCAGGAAGAATTGGACTTCTCGGTCTTCCACGACCGACCCAATTCTGCGACGGCCATAAAGAGATTGATATACGCTGGAGAATTGTCAAAATCGCCTGACAATGCGATCGCACCGTGACACGAACGTCCGTCGCCGAGAGAGTTACCTTTCCTCGTTTGATAAAAAAAAAAAATATTCCGCATCAGTTCGCTTTTCTTTATTTTCGCAATCCCATAGCACTCGCATGTGGCTAAATGATTAATCGAAACAATCAATATTTAGAATGATCCCAAATAACCAAAAGTGTGATTAATCATATTGCTGTCATGTTGCCAACAACTATATTATTGTTGGCAACATGACAGCAACCTCGCAGATACTTGGGTATTTGGGATTCGATTTTCATGTTTTTCTTTTTTTCGTCCGCGAGTAATTTGCAGATAAAAACATCGAATATATTCTCAAGTGTTTCCCTCTCTGTTGCATGTTTATATCAAAATGTATCTGTATATATCCTCTCTCTCTTTTTTCAGTTTGATATAATTAATATTTCTATAGCTACTTCGTTTTATTATAAGAAAAACAAGATAAAAAAGGAAAAAAAAATAAAGAAAGGAAAATAACTTATATTATAAATGAAAACATTTACATATTTTTATCTTAGTCCAAAAGATTTTGATAAAATCGATAGAAATTTTTGGTTCGTGAGAAATATACATAAAACTCGTAAATAATGGAAAAGACACAGAGAAACAACCATTACAAATATATCGAAAAAACGATTTATTTATCTGGGTTAAATAATAAGACGTCACTCAATATATTGTGTATCAAATTTTAATTTTAAATATCATTGTATAAAAAAGTGATACAACTCAAAATTTAGTTATTTTGAGTTAATTTGTTCAAATTCTCACCGCTAGAAAAAAAATTCCACCTCAGCTACTACGGTAACAAAAATTTTTAAACATTTTTGATATGAATTTTATGCGTGAATAATATATATAATTATTTTCATAGTAAAAAAGAAGTTATCCGATAATCTCTGCATTTAGTTAGAATTAGTATACGTAACGTTTTTTGTTTTTTTGCTTTCCCGGAAAATTGCATTTTTTGAGCTGTGTCACTTTTCTATATGATGCGCGATGTGTCAATAAACTCTCGATTATAGAGATTACGCAGAGATTACGCAGAACGGATTGCATGCCCAGATAGCACAAATCTATTCTATAAACATTCTATAAATAATATTCACCTTCGGTGAATATTTGAATATTCTAATAAAGTGAGAAAGAAACGATCTATGAATCTGCATAGAACTTCAAAATGAGACCGATCTAAATACAATGTTCTAGGCAGATTTATAAAATATTCTTTTAACACGAGAATATTCTACAAAGATTCATAGATAATTCTGTATAAGAATATTCTCAAAACAGTATATATTTGACGTTAAAAATAAAATAGTCAAAAAATATATTGCGCTATCCGGGTGCAGATAAAACGATTCGACTAAAAAAAAAAAAAAAAAAGTTTTAGTAGTGGAGTTCGAATGGGAAATTTAATTTAATTTTTCGAAGCTTTCGCGAATCTCAATTTTAAAAGACACCGGCATCGGCGCGCAAACGAATAAACCCGCTTCGGGGCAGCTCGACTCGGTTCGTGTGCGGTTGGCCGGCTGGCTGGTTGCAGAAATTCAGTTCCCGCTCTCCTCCTTTCTCCCGGTCATCTACGGTTACATCGGCGGCGAACGGAGCGAGCAAGCGAGACGGACGACGTTTCCCATGGGAAGCCGACCGTTCCGGACTGGTCATCAGTTTGTCAGCGGCGCCGCTCTTGCGCGCATGATCACCGCGCGCGCCTTTACCGTGCCTCTCTATACATAACATTCTTAGATACTGTATAGTATACTGTAAATACACGGATATGTCATATCCGTCTTCGTAAAAGCCGGTGGTCGGTGACGCCGAGAAAGCGGTGGCAGCCGGAGAATCGAGCCAGGAGAGCGGACTTTGATCCGTTTGTGGTCCGAGTTGGTTCGAGTAGCCACGACGCCGTTGCCCGCGCGAGTCGTGCGCGTCCAACGATCGATTCGGAACCTAGGTATGTACATATACAACATTATGTACAATAGATCGCGTGTGCCTGGATCATTTTCGCCGGAAGTAACAATGGCGAATGAAAGCTGGAGAGTAGTAGTGCCTCTTGCTCTACATTGCTATTTCTCCAATATCTCACGAGAGTTTCTACCCGGACGCTTTTGTTCGAGTTTTCGAGAAGGGAAAGAAACGAGAGAATTATGCATATTGAAAACAGAAAGTATACGAAACTCTCTGTAAAAAGTACGGTGCTCCCTTCTCGAACGTAATATACTTCAGTACATTACTCATGAATAATATATGAAGCATGAAGTAGAGAGAATTAACGCGTATTATAAAATTGCTTTTTTCATGTAAACGAAGCTACATATTTTGACAACACTGACAATGAGTGGTTTAGTGCGGTAGGTGTGAGAAAATTACATATTCCTTTTTCGTGTCGTAATATCAAGTTATGACTCTTACTTCGGACTGTTTATTACTCGCGCATACATTTGACGCGCCGATTATTAAATACCTATTCTTGCATCGCGTAAAATGAATTATCGCAGGTAAAGGCAATTCTTTTGTTATGCGCTAAAAGAATTTCTGCTGACCGCTTATCGCGGGAATCGGCGAGCAGGATACGCATATTCGAGCCCTGCGTCGGCGTTCTCCGGAATGCGCGATAACAGAAGTACATCAGTCAGCGCGATAAATGCAAATAGATAATAAAGATTTCTCGCGAGAAATTAGAAGAGCGATAACAAAAGAAATAAATGCGCGCGCGCACACACGGACACACGCGCGATATATATATAAAAATTCGACACGTAAAAGAAGAGATCCGCGCCAACGTTCAAAATTAGACCGGCTAATAAGCGAAATAAGACGTGGAAAGGAAAATTCGAGTTGAATAGAAATAGCTTAGAGTTGTCGGAATCGGAGATAAGGACCGGGACATGAACAGGGTCGGGAATAGGCGGTCCCTATTCTATTTTCGAACTGGGTGACAATAGCGGTTCGTCACGTTTTCTATATATATGGGCTGGGATTCTCGAATACATTATACAACTTTTTCCCTCGTCACATGCACGCTTGTTACGCCAGTTTTCGCCGTTGTTACTTATGTTAGATCCGGGACAAAACCGTGATTGATGAAGCGGCCCGTTATTAGCTCGTGCCGAAACAGTATAATAATTGCTATAATTATAGAGACGCGTGTATACTGTTTCTGTCTCTGGCGGGTGATAGGATTTTCAGATTATTTAAAATGCAAAATGGCCTAAGTGGAAACTTTTATCATAAAAGTTTATATAACGTTAATTTTTAAATAAATGCCGACAGAAAGAATCCTTTTAATTAGCACAAGCTTTTGCGAAAAAAAAAAAAAAAAAAGTTTTAGTGGAGTTCGAATGGGAAATTTAATTTAATTTTTCGAAGCTTTCGCGAATCTCAATTTTAAAAGACACCGGCATCGGCGCGCAAACGAATAAACCCGCTTCGGGGCAGCTCGACTCGGTTCGTGTGCGGTTGGCCGGCTGGCCGGTTGCAGAAATTCAGTTCCCGCTCTCCTCCTTTCTCCCGGTCATCTACGGTTACATCGGCGGCGAACGGAGCGAGCAAGCGAGACGGACGACGTTTCCCATGGGAAGCCGACCGTTCCGGACTGGTCATCAGTTTGTCAGCGGCGCCGCTCTTGCGCGCATGATCACCGCGCGCGCCTTTACCGTGCCTCTCTATACATAACATTCTTAGATACTGTATAGTATACTGTAAATACACGGATATGTCATATCCGTCTTCGTAAAAGCCGGTGGTCGGTGACGCCGAGAAAGCGGTGGCAGCCGGAGAATCGAGCCAGGAGAGCGGACTTTGATCCGTTTGTGGTCCGAGTTGGTTCGAGTAGCCACGACGCCGTTGCCCGCGCGAGTCGTGCGCGTCCAACGATCGATTCGGAACCTAGGTATGTACATATACAACATTATGTACAATAGATCGCGTGTGCCTGGATCATTTTCGCCGGAAGTAACAATGGCGAATGAAAGCTGGAGAGTAGTAGTGCCTCTTGCTCTACATTGCTATTTCTCCAATATCTCACGAGAGTTTCTACCCGGACGCTTTTGTTCGAGTTTTCGAGAAGGGAAAGAAACGAGAGAATTATGCATATTGAAAACAGAAAGTATACGAAACTCTCTGTAAAAAGTACGGTGCTCCCTTCTCGAACGTAATATACTTCAGTACATTACTCATGAATAATATATGAAGCATGAAGTAGAGAGAATTAACGCGTATTATAAAATTGCTTTTTTCATGTAAACGAAGCTACATATTTTGACAACACTGACAATGAGTGGTTTAGTGCGGTAGGTGTGAGAAAATTACATATTCCTTTTTCGTGTCGTAATATCAAGTTATGACTCTTACTTCGGACTGTTTATTACTCGCGCATACATTTGACGCGCCGATTATTAAATACCTATTCTTGCATCGCGTAAAATGAATTATCGCAGGTAAAGGCAATTCTTTTGTTATGCGCTAAAAGAATTTCTGCTGACCGCTTATCGCGGGAATCGGCGAGCAGGATACGCATATTCGAGCCCTGCGTCGGCGTTCTCCGGAATGCGCGATAACAGAAGTACATCAGTCAGCGCGATAAATGCAAATAGATAATAAAGATTTCTCGCGAGAAATTAGAAGAGCGATAACAAAAGAAATAAATGCGCGCGCGCACACACGGACACACGCGCGATATATATATAAAAATTCGACACGTAAAAGAAGAGATCCGCGCCAACGTTCAAAATTAGACCGGCTAATAAGCGAAATAAGACGTGGAAAGGAAAATTCGAGTTGAATAGAAATAGCTTAGAGTTGTCGGAATCGGAGATAAGGACCGGGACATGAACAGGGTCGGGAATAGGCGGTCCCTATTCTATTTTCGAACTGGGTGACAATAGCGGTTCGTCACGTTTTCTATATATATGGGCTGGGATTCTCGAATACATTATACAACTTTTTCCCTCGTCACATGCACGCTTGTTACGCCAGTTTTCGCCGTTGTTACTTATGTTAGATCCGGGACAAAACCGTGATTGATGAAGCGGCCCGTTATTAGCTCGTGCCGAAACAGTATAATAATTGCTATAATTATAGAGACGCGTGTATACTGTTTCTGTCTCTGGCGGGTGATAGGATTTTCAGATTATTTAAAATGCAAAATGGCCTAAGTGGAAACTTTTATCATAAAAGTTTATATAACGTTAATTTTTAAATAAATGCCGACAGAAAGAATCCTTTTAATTAGCACAAGCTTTTGCGAAATAAAAACATTAAGTGATATTAATAAACATTAAGTGTCTTTTAAATAATCATTGAATGTCAAACGCTTGTTTCGCTCTCGGTATAAACGATTCATAAATTCTAGAATATCAATTCATAATCATGCCGAAGCTTGTTCTGTCAGGAACGATTGATACGATAAATAAAGGACTCGAACCTCGTTATTTATTACCCGATGGTTTAGTCAAATTTTTTTAAACGCAATTTATAATTCAGTTGCAATCGTTGCAGTTTCATCGATATGTCTCGTGAAATTTTTTATTATCTAACAAGGTCATTACTTTTACTTTCTTTTAAATATCAGCAAATCTGAAGTGTTAATTGTAAGATAATATTTGAATAATATCTCTTTTAGAGATAACGTATCTGAATAATTGTTTGAGATATAATTATCCGCAAAGATCTATGAAATCCAAGATACCCTCTTTACGTATACATTTTAGTAAATTACGTGTTAGTTTACATAATTAAAGGTGTCTTATGTTATCTAGCAATTATGTAGATTTCACGCGCGCGCGCGCGCACACACACACACACACACAAAAGAAAGATCAGCATAATATAATAATCTATATAAAATTATATAAATTTGTTTTCACAACAGACTCTGAAATCAGTTTTATGTTGTAAGCAAAAGTTTCTATCTTGTTAAAAAAAAAGATTATTAATCATTATGTTAGGCAGAGAAGTAACTTTTTTGTAACCAAACTTCGTAAGTGTTTGATGTCTTTTATTCTTCTTACTATCATTATAATGATTAGCCTCTTTTATATCCGCCACTTGTTGATAATTATTAGCAAGTTTTCATTATGTGGAACTCGTGTGAAACATTTGTGCTGGAGCACGAGTCTGTTCTATTTACAATAAAAATGATTCATTGAATTGATGATAATAAGCAACCACCGCGACACTTAACCCGCGACATTTAAGTTTGTTTTGTATATTTTTATAAAGTATTTCTTGTAAAGTTTATAATGGCAAGTTTTTTATTTATATGACAGCTTCATTTACAAAGTTGCAACGTAATAAACGTCATCGCTATAATACATATCTGTTTCCCTCCGACTCATAAGAACACACATAAAAATCGCGATTTTTAGCTTAGAATTTCTCTTAAACTATGCAAACAAATCGCGCAAAATTTTAATTGCGAATATATTATACCACAAAGAATATAGTATTCAATTTTTAACATTTCTAGCATTTGCATTAAGGCGAACAAATTGTTTAAAGCGCGTTGTAAATTGTAAATTGCAACTTGTAATCTCGATGACTCTCAAAGTTACGGCTTCCACGCGCGACTCACGAAGTCCAGGAAGCTCCTTCTTTTTGGGAACCCTCACCATCATTGATGTCACTTCCCGTTTGATTGTCGCTCATATAAAATATCGCGCGGCGATTATCAAAGTTCGCAGCTTTGATTACCGCAGGTTATCGAAGTCACGAGACGGTCTCGCATTCAATGAGCTTAATCGCACACGCGACGTCTCGTGACGATGAATCATCGTCGTGGCGTACATTGAGCACCACGGAGGGACACCACGTCCTCGTTCCCCATACGGGATTTCGGCCGCCGATCAATTTGCATAATTCCGAAAGCAAAATGCAAGACTACATCGTAGATTTTTAGAAGGAGTAGAAATATCTCTGGATATATCCCTTCGCGAAAGAGGCTTAAAAGAG